AACATAATGGTGTATCTGAAATGAGGAATTATGAACTATTAGATATAGTACGAATAATAACAAGCCATGCAAACCTCCCAAAATCGTTTTGGGATCATGCATTAATTACAGTGTGCTACACACTAAATCGTGTCTCATCTATGCCGGTTGACAAAACTCCATACATGTTATTGAGAGGCAAAAGGCCCAACTTGTCTCATATTAAAGTTTAGGATTGTGACGCTTATGAAGCTCATTGAATCGAAGAAGCTTGAGTCTATATCCGATAAATACATATTTATGGGATATCCAAAATAGATATTTGAATATCAAATCTATAATCCCATTGAGAATAAGGTATTCATCTCAAGACATTTCATATTTCTAGAGAAAGAGTTCATTATAGGAGAGGACAGTGGGAGCAAAATAGAACTTGAAAGAGTTCAAGAATCCACAGACATAGTTGACCAAGTAGATAAATCTGAGTTTGATCCTACACCTGCTGATGGACATACTCTTGATCAGGAAGTAGAGACTTTTGAGGACAGATCAGCTTCTTATAAATCTGGTAGGATCATTCGACCTTCAAGAATGTGCGAATCTATAATTACTAATCAGGCATTACTAATCGAGGATGATGACCTTATTAATTGCACAAAAATAAAGTCAAATGTCGACTCAAAGAGATGGCAAAAGGCCATGGAATTCGAAATGAACTCGATGTATGTGAACAAGGTTTAGACTTTGATCGACCAGCCTGATGGGATAGAACTCATAGGTTGTAAATGGGTTTACACGAAAAGGTCGACATGCATGGTAACTTCTATACATACAAAGAAAGACTAATAGCAAAAGGTTACAAACAAAGACAAAGAGTTGGCTTTGAAGAAACCTCTTAACATACAGCCACGCTTAAGTCCATTCGGATTTTATTTACAATAGCTACATATCATGACTATGAGTTATGAGAAAATGATGTCGAAATTTCAATCTTTAATAGGAACTTGCATGATGAAGTGTACTTGACACGATATGAAAGTTTTGAATCCAAATATGCTTACAATGTATGCAAGCTTAATCAATTTTTATATGGATTGCAGCAAGTCTCTTGGAACTGAAATTTTCGATTTGATGAAAAAGTTAAAAGGTTTGATTTTATCAAAAAACGAGGAAGATTCGTGTGTTTACAAGAAGATAGTAGAAACGTTGTCGTATTCCTAATATTATATGTATATAACTTATTAATAAGAAATTACATCTCTATGTTTTAATCGTTGAAATCATGGTTGTTAAATTATATCTCCGTGAAGGGTATGAGAGATACAACTTGATTTATAGAGATAGATCTAGAAGACTACTTAACTCATTCCAATCTACATAGATAAATCTTGAGAAGATTTTATATGGAGAAAATGAATTGAAAGTTCATGGATACACTGATACTAACTTCTAGTCAAATTAGAATGATAGCAAATCTCAAACAGGATATTGGTTTACACTTAAATGGTGTGTTGGAAAAGTTCCAAACATGAAACATTCGTTAATTCAATAGTAAAAATCTAATACACGATTGCTTCAGAAACAGCAAAGATTTGTGGTATGGATCAAGATGTTCATTAATGAACTTGGAGTAATTCCTAACATTGTTGATCACATGCCTTTATATTGTGATAACAATAGAGCCATCGCGCATGTAAAGGAACTATGGTCTCATCGATTATCCAAACATGTGTTAAGGCAGTATTATCTTATCGGAAAGATAATACAAAGAAATGATGTAAAGAATGGACGAATTTTCATAGTTGATAATATTGCAGATTTACTGACAAAGAGTCGTCGCTATATAAACATAATCGTCACGTAGATTCTTATAATATTAGACGTATAAGTGATTGAATATAGTGCAAGTATGAGTTTGTAAGTGTTATGCCCTAGGTCTAATCAGCTTTGGACTTAAGCACTTTTAATATATAATTGATGCAATTTTATGGTAGATCTATTATTTAATTAATATTAAATTAAATAATAAATTTTATAAATTCAAATCTTAGCAATTTGTTAACTATAAAGAGTTATGATTGTGAAATACAAATTATATATTATTGAATCTTAAATCATTTATGGTCGTAGGTAATAACGAGACACGTATAACGTTATTACAGATAGACCATCACGTATGGCATTTCTGACTCATGAAGTAAGTATCTGATCTCACAAATTAAAGTGTGGTCACTTAAATTAACACGTAGATATTCTTTTATAGAAAAACATTGTAGACCTGTGGGGAGATTCCACATGGATAACTATCTGAGTGTCGGACGTTAATCTTTAATGTTCGGTAGTAGAACTGGTCCTTTGACTTGAGGTCATCATAGTGCCTTATATAAGGACAATCATACTTTAGTAATATTGGATGTTGCTCTACTAAGGGCCACTAATATGACATTGTCCGGATATGTCAAAAAAATCCTATGAATGTTGTAAATGACCAATAAAAGTTTCGTAACTCTTAGATAGCAAGAGATTATAGTCTACGTTTTATTCAGTTAAGTTTAGAGCTAGGCATAGTTTGGTTTGGTTCGGTTCTCTTTAGAACCGAACAAATCGAACAAAAAAATTTGAGTATTTAATAAGTGGAACGCCAGGTCTAAATATAATTATGGATTCGGGTTCAGTTTGATTCGATTCGATTCAGTTCTATTCGGTTCCGTATCATAATTACATTTTAAACATTTACAACAAAATTATATAAATACAACTAATAACATATTCAATCAAAACTTTTACAAATTAACGAAGTCCAATTCAAAAACATATAAATAACAAGTTGTCCAATAAAATTAATTTACCAACATATACAAATACCAAAAAGTAGATATTAATACTAAAATATTGGCAATCTATATCAATAATTCATTTGCTTCAAGCCTTCAAGTCTACATAAAAAAAATTCTTGAATTCGAAGTCATATAGATAAAATATTTTTAAGTATTACTAATACTTACCTGCTATTTGATTTAATTATCAATTGGGCCAAAAAAATTGGATTTAGAAATTGGTTGCGTTGGGTCAAGCTAGCTAGGTTAGGGCTTGGGAGATGGAGTATCAATCAATCACCTAATTAATTAATTTGATAATTCGTTTAGAAAAAATTAACGTAATTTGATTTATTAAATATAAAAAAAATTAAAAAGATTCAGTTCTTGGTCTAGAATCAAGAATCGAACCGTACCCGTCTATTCTTGATTCAGATACCCATTCGAATATTTAACTTGAGAAGAACTGTCGGGTTCAATTCGGTTCAGGAGTCTTGCCCAACCATAGTTAAGTTGATAATAAAATCATCGGCCAAGGTGTACTCATAAGTCGAAAAAGGAGTTTTCGACTTATATTAAGTTAATAGAGGAATGAAATACATGATCGATAATTGAGATTGATAGATTTTCATATCGCATAATTGATCGGATCATATTGACGAAGGGATTATATTTCATGATAAACGAACAAATTTGATTTTTTTGTACCACGTGATATTTTCATTTACATGTATTGCCCTGACACATTGTTAGATGTTAATTTGGAACGATGATTGTGAAATGGTGATTAATTGAAAAATGGTATTTTAATTTATCGATTTTTATTTGATCAAAATTATTCACGTCATTAAGCATCGTGATTGAGAACCTAAAGGGTCACACACAAAAGGAAAACTAGAAGAATAAAATTTACCAATTAATTAATTGACAAGTGTAGGATAATTGATTAATTGGATTGCTTATTAATAGGCTCGAATGAATTAATACATTGACCAGATTTAATTAATTGGATTAATTAAATATTGGTCTGGATTAAGTCGTGAGACGGGCTAAGCCCATTTGGGCTTATATAAATAAACTGCTAGGGTTTGAAAACAGTAGGAAAAAATTTCATATTCTTGCTAACACAAAAAATGTAAAATCCATGGTTCTCTCAATTTTATTCCCTGTGTGAATTTCATTGGTGGCTGGACAATTGGACAACTATGGATTAAAGATTGTAATTGTTGTAATTAAAGTAAAGCAAAGGAGTTTATGGAATTTAACAAAGGTATAATTTATATCACAGTTTCCTTGGTAGGAATTGAAATATTGTTTAAATTTCGATGTGCATGATTAAGTAAATTCTTAACAAAAATAACTAGATCTATCTATGAGATGCCCAGGCCTATCATATATAGCTTCTTAGTGACGACCATTGGCCAATGTTGAGCCTTGGGTTTATTCAAGAATCAAACAATGAAATTTTAATGAACTTAGGATCCATTTGATTGCAAGAATGAAATTTGGACCGAAAAGAAAATGAATTCTAGGAAATTAAATTGCCTAGAACTTGTTTTACTTGAAATTTTCAATTAAATGTGTTTGACTAGTATAATTTTTCACTTAAAAAATGTTAAAATTTTGGATCTTTTGATATTTGTTTCACTTTGTTTTCCATGAAATTTGTCAATTAAAGAAATATAATTTGTTTTCATTGAGGAAAAAAAAATGGAAATCCATTTCCTATCAAACCCATGGGAATTGTAATTCCACCAAACCAAGGAAAATTGTCACGTGGCAGGGGGGATGAATTGCCAAGAAAAAGGTGCAATCAAGTAACCAAAAATGTGAAAAATGGAAAATTCCATGAATCAAACATGCCCTTAAAGAAAGTGGAGTGAGAAGTAAACTTTTGAACCTGTGAAGTTAATTGATGTCATTTTCCTTATAAAGCACTCTTCTTCTTCTTTATTTTTATTTTATGCTTTTTTTAATTTCTGGTTTATATGCATTTTCACAAGGATCAATCAAGATTTAAAATTGCATATCGCCGGCAACGAAGCTAATAGAAACTAGGCAACTTTCATATCCCAATAAAACTTCAACTCCTTTGAAAGGGACTAAATCTATTATATCAAGGCCATGTTGATTTCTCAAGTTTCTTCATTGCATTAATTTTGAAACAACCATAGTCATTGAACTTGGATACGAATACTTGATAAATGCTTGCTATTTTCTCCTCTTGAACGTCGAATATTTTATAAACCAACTCGATCCCATTTCTTGAATAAGATTGACAGCATGATCTCAAGGATCGGTTGAAGCAAATAGAATTACACATTAAAAAAAATAAAAATAAAAAAAATCTAAGAAACCTACTATTCTCATAATTAAACTAAGCTTAACTCTCAGCTTCTTAATAGCCCTTCCTTGCATCAGCAGAATTCTATATCAAAAGCATTTTCTGATAACTTCAATGTACCTAGAATTTTGAAAGCCGATATACTTTATCTTGAAGTCACTACAAGAAATTTCACTTTATACATAAAATAGACTTTTCAAAGTGAATTTTCCGGGTGGTTAGGCAACAGCTAGTTGGATCTCTCCTTCTCTGACAGGCAAGAATCCTACGTGCTTCTGCAAGTACACAAGCAAAAATATATAAATAAACTAATAAAATGAAAATTTCTGAATAGTCCAATTGAAAGGTATTAATTATTGAAAAACATAAACTAATTACTCCTTTGCTTTTTTAAATTTCTAATTCTTGTCTTGTACCATAAAGAAAAGGGAAATAAAAAAAATTTAAAAGACGGCTGGTCTATAGAATTCCTTGTTTTTCTAGCAATCTTGTTTTCTTAGTAGATAAAGGCTTTTCAAAAACAAGAAAAGTAGAAAAAGAGAGATTCAGACTTTTTGTCTTTAATCATATAGAATCAGATTTTTGATAGACTTTACTAAAAGTTATGAAATGTTTGATTGAAAAATTGTTGGACGTATGAAATATGTGATTAAAATTAATTATTGACTTTAACTTAAATTAAAATTTGAATTTTAACTGATATCAAACAAGGACTTAGTATTGTCCAATATCAAAAGAGTTTTCGATGCATATAGATATTAGTTTTAATGTACATACCATCTGTACTGTTGTGTGGAGTCGCAAGCAACTAATTGAGTGATCTTATTGTTTCTATATTGAAGTATATGATTTGGTTGCACTAAAATAAAGTTCAGTTACCTACTTGCAACCATACGAATAAATTTCAGTGGCTTCGTAATTACTAACTATTAAGTGATTTCACAATATGTACAAGAAAAATGTTTGTTAATTTGGGTGTAACACAAACATCCATGTCTGATTCCAATTTTGTGAAATTCGTTTTTTCTTTTCTAAATTCGTTTTCAATCACACATTATATAAAATTCATGATTTTTATAACTTCTTAACTACATATTTAATCAAAATTTACTAAAAAATTAACCAAATCAAATATGGGCTTAATTGTCTAAGAGAAAAAAGATTCTTTAAAAATATGTTTACCAAACCAAGAAAGGTGACGCAGAATTGTACAAATTAACACAGAAAATTAAGATACCGAATATAATTATTGTTCATCACAGTAGATCGGTAACCAAATTAACAACTAAATTATTTTATATTAAATGTTAAATATTTTCAAGAATTGTCCGAATCCAAATGATTCGATAGGAGTGGCTTAGACAATCGTTAATGTGAACTAGTTGAATTAAAATATGAATTTAAGTGTAAAATTGTCTGAATTTTGCAAAAAGATGAATCTAAAATGGTCTAAGGCATTTGAGTTCCTTGGCCGACTTGAGATTTTTGTCCTCATTTGATTAAATCTCACTCAAATTCTGACACTTCGTTACATCAAATTGGTATAGACAATAGCAAAATGTCACACGGAATGAAAGTAGCAGTACATTTGATATGACATCTTGTTATTCGCTACTTGAATTGATTTAGCGACGTGTCAAACTTTAAATTAAAAAAATTGAAATGGAGACAACGAATCTCGATTCATGTTTTTTAACCTTTTCAATTCAAGGGAGGGCCGAGCTCCACGTACAGGAGCTCGGTTCACAAGGAGTGTACAGACCCCTCACTGTAGGGGGCCGGACCCCACAACAAATTTAGGGGAAAAAAAAAAAAGAGGGACCCACCCCCACCTTCTCTCACATCTGGCAGGGGCCAGTGAACCAGGCCCCTGCACCTCAAGCTTTTTTCATTGAATGGGTGGCTCTGTATTTTAATAAACCAACTCACGAAAAACCTGTCTGAGCCTATGAGCATGGCATGAAAAAAGGATCATGTCCTATGAAAAACATACCTCGCGAGATTTGAGACCATTTTTTACGATTCCATCATCATTCTTCCATTGCACATGTTGCTTCAATAATGGATTCTTTTGGACCTTTTTAGGTTCCGCTGTACCGCTGCCGGCGTCGGCCCCGGCGCCATCCACTTTGTTGACCATGTAAAGATTGACTATCTTCTCGGCAATCTCAGCGCCGTTTCTGCTGTCCATCATCAACTTCTCTACTTGGGCCTTGGGAAGTCTCATCTTAAGCCTCATTGCACCATTTTCTTCCGAACTTCTAACCGACTCCTCAAACGCAATGCTAGATGGTTTCATGATCGAGAGATCCGAAACCGATCTTTTCGCCAACATTAGGCTTTCGAGCCGGTCCTTGGCACTCATATGAATGCCGGATCTAACTCTCCTCGCACCCTTTTCTTGTGGGAATTCTGGCAACTCTACTAGAAAATACAGCCTCTTCGGCTTCAGCTCTTGTTGCGGCTCCAGTGGCTTTGCTCGAATACCGAAATGCTTTACAGCTTCGGACTCTAACAGAACGTAACCCGGATAGTCCTTCGTTATCTCACCAACATTCACTGGTGTCTTGAATTTTATAATTTCGCCGTTGATTTTCATTACCTTTGCTCTCTTTTTTCCTCCCAAACTGTTGCCCATTTTGTTACAAGAGAATCAACAATGTGAAATCTTTAGGCCCTTATTAATGGAGGATTGAAGGCAAAGACAAATCTTTTATATGTGGATATTAGTTGTTTGTTGGGGATTATGGGTCAAAGAAAAGAACACTAATGTTGAATATTTGCAGCTCCTTTGAAAAACTATGAAACTTGTGACTATTTCACTATTAATCTAAAATAACTAAATTTGTTCCTTTGCGTAGTAATAATTTTATCCGTTGGTGAGGTTTAAAATCAGATTTTTAATAGATTTTAATAAAATTGATTAGACGTATTGTTGAAAAATTGTTAATATCATAAAATATGTGATTAAAATTAATTGTTAAGTTTAACTGAAATTATATCAAACAAGAGCTTATGATGTTTGGATGTATGCATGCTAAAACAGTGTAAAACCTCGATAGGTTTGATTAATTATATCTCAAAAATTGCCCCTCATGGGGTGGTCGAATTGATGGAGTAAGTGAACGCGTAAGCCTTTGGTCACGAGTTCGATTCCCCTTACCAACACTTTTCTCGATCGAGCTTATCGCACCAGGCTTGCCTAGTGCTATTTACCTGGCTAGTGTGATTTGCAGGCTATTGCTTCAGTCCGAAAATTTATCTAGTACGCACCCTAAGGATAGCGGCTCTAAGTTCCCTCGTCATCAAAAATAAAAAAATAATATTACATCTCAAAAATTTGAGACATTGTCCTTTTTTTAAAGTAGCAAGCTAAATATTTTGATATAGGAAAAAGCTTTTCAAAAACTGTAACAAAAAATTAAATAAATCATTCAATATATGGGAGGCATCTTTTTAGGTTAAAACTAGATTATGGTGCTTGTATGCAATGCTAACAACCATCCTAGCAAATTAATTAAAGTAAAGTAGGGTCCAATATAATTTAAAGGAATAATTGCAACAAAAGTTTCAAACCGTTAAAATATTAAACATTTTATTCGTTGCAATCGTCACCCTAACGTTTCCAAACGTTACAAGTAAGACCATTTTGGATGGTTTCCATACAATTTTTCGTCACTTGATGACCATCTTCTATCAAAATAGATGAGAGTAAAATGGTATCTTTATATTTTATTTAATAAAATAATTAAAATATAAAAAAATCAAATTTGAGATTCTATTTTTAGGGCAATTTTTTGGCATTGTTTGATTTTTGATCGGTGGTGATATTAAATTTTTTTCTGGGCAATTTCATCATCGTATTTTCTAGGGAATTTCTTTTCTCAGATTGTATCAAATTTGGTGATGATACTAAATCAATTTTTTCCAATATTTTTACTCGGTAAGGAATTTGGAGTGTGTTTTGTGGCAATGGTAGGTGATAGTTTGTGGTGAGGTGTGTGGGCAGGGGATCGACCTGACCAGTGGCAATGACAGTGTGATGCCTGTGGCGACAATGGGTGAGATGGAAGGGTCTGCTGGTGATAGGTGGTATGGATTCAGATTTTGTCTGGATTTTGGTTGGGTTGGGGTGGGTGGATGATGGGAGAAGAAGGTGAAATTTGATTTTTATTTTATTTTAATTATTTTATGAAATAAAATATAAAGTTATCATTTTACCCTAATCTATTTTGAGATCATTTTACCCTCGCCTATTTTGTTAGAAAGTGGTCAACTGATGGCATCTTGAATGAAAATCATTCAAAAGGGTCTCACCTTCAACGTTGAAAAGGTTAGGGGTGACTGATGTAACAAATCAAAGATTTAGGAAATGTCTACTATTGTTTCAAAGGTTAAGGACTTTTGCTACAATTATTTCTAATTTAAACTTTACCTTAGAAAGCCCGTGACCTTTGGTAGACATCAAAGATGAATCCTTCCAATTTGGCATTTTGCTTAATTATTCAACGATGATGACTTACGTTAATCACGGTATGAATCCAAGAAATGTGCAAGAAATGCCAAATCCATGTGGGTTTGTCATAATTTAAAATAGTTGTATAAAATTAAAGTGGGAACCCTTTTGCGTTGAAAATATGCATTGCTACCTAACTCATAATGGCTTTGTAGGGTAAATTTTATTTGTATTTAACTTTCAATTAAAATCTTGATTGGGCTAATGAAATTTAATTTGTCTCAGTGTTACTGAACTTCATTCTAGTTTCAGATTTATAACCATGTCGTGTTTCATCACTCGTTAACCTTCAAAATGATGAAATTTGGTTAGTTGACAATCATATTATAAATGATTTTCTACTTAATTTTTACGTTGTACGTTAGAAGCTAAAATTCTAAAATGAAGATTATATCTATGTCTTTACGTTAAAAGGTAAAATTCGACTTTTTAATTTTACTTCATACTTTTATGATGTGGAGTATCAATAACTTGGCATGCCATGCAGCAATTGCTTATAGGTGTCAATTAATCAATTTTCTTAAATTTGGGAGACAATATTGCCCTTGTTTGGCTCCCATTTTCGAAAAATGAAAATGGATGGAATAGTATTTTTTTTAAAATGAGTGGTTGAAAATGAAGGCAATTTTTTTTTATTTACGTCTAATATTATTTTATGGAAAATTATGTGGTTAAAAATAGAAGAGAGAAAAATAAAATGTAACGTAATGAAATTTAATGGGGGCCAAATGGGGCTTAACAGAAACAAATTTTCAAAATTAAATTGAAATCCAATGACCAAACATAAACTGAATTAAAATTTGATAATTCGATCGAGATAAATTAAATTTGTTAGTCCAATTGAAATTTCTGTGACCACAAAAATTTAGTTTTTATGTACAAGTAATATTTCCTTTTTAAAATTTTCTTCCTTGAAGTAACGTTCTATATGACATTATAACTCGCCTTAATTGTATATGCAAAAGTAAAGTGACAGAAAGATTTTTATCTTGGAAATGTTTGACCATGACTTACAGTTACAGGTCCATGTTGATGTACGGCACACCAATTCCTAACATATTTTAAGTACTCAAAAAATGCATGTAAAGTTTGGCAAATAATAGTTCATAATACAAGAACTAAAGAATAGCTACACATCTATTATTAAAAAAAAGGTTGAACCTCAATCTTGAGGTTCTCACCGTCCCACCCTTAGATCATCCTGAGGGAAGTAAATCACGAGATGTGCCTCAATAGATCATGGAACAAGAGCTTGCTCGTACACTAGTGCCCACAAAAAGTTCAATTTTATATGTTAGGAATCGAACCCTCATACTGTGACTGCCAGCAAAACTGAGACTATCACACTCCTATCCTTTGCACCACTGGGTTATGCCCCAAAGGGCCCTACACGTCTATTATCATGTTCCAGGGAGGAGGAGATGGCATGATTAGACTAGGCGATTTAGGTTTTTTACGTGAAATTTTCTTTGGTTTTTTTTATCTTTGTGATTTTATTATTATTATTATTATTATTTTTTGACGTATTAGTTTAGTATTAAAATAAAATAAAAAATTGTGTCCCCCCGGCTCCACCCATGATCATGTTCAATATCTTCAGCTTGGCCTAAAGTGCACATACCATTGCAAGTATGAATTTTTCTGTTACTGTTTTATGCCAAAATAGATGTGTACATTCTGGTATTAAATGAATTGAGTGCAACATAAATCCATGAACCATTAAATAGTGTAAATTATTAGTGCACTTGATTGGAATATATCATAATCTGGCGCTTCTAGACAAAAAAAAATTCCAACATGCTTCCAATAATGTCGTCATAGATGCTTTTTGGTAGGGAAGCGAATAACATCGAATCATGATAGATGTATATTGTTTAAAAAATGAATTTAAAACAAGGATAATGTTAGAATGTAACATGAATAAATTCAGTCCGTTTTTTAAAATTTTAATTTAATAGAGATAAATTTAAAGTGTGACAGATATATGAAAATGGTGGATGAAAATAGATACTTCCTTTTCCATTTTTATTTTGTATTTGTAAATTTAAATCATATTTTCTAAAAAAAAAAATAATGATAATACTTAAAAATAAAAAATGGAAAAACAGGGCAGGGGATTGAAGGCAACAAGCTCGACCCATCCCATTGTCATCCCTATTACTTGATATGAATTACAAAACAAATCGAACAAACTCTTTTGCCACACTTTGGAGAAAGCAAATAAAATATAATGACGCCTATGAAAATGTTCTTATAGAGATTTACACAACCACATAGGGTGTTTATTTTTTCACACCCTAAAAAATATAGTGTAAAATTAAATGTCAGATAACAAACAAATAAATAAACGAGTTCTCCAGGCTACGAACTTGTACAGGCTATCATGCTTTGCGAAGCTGCTCTAACAATGAAGTAGCCTTCCTCTTCGCCCTCTCCGTCCCATTTTTAGCAAGCTCTGAAAGAGGTAGTAATGCACCAAGCCTACTCAAACAAGCAACATTTTCAGTATCTCTTTTGCACAAAGAAAGTAAAATAGCAGCCGCATTCTCCTTGTCGCGAGGCAGACCCGTTCTCAAAAGATCTATCAATACTGGTATCGTGCTAGCTTTCATGAGGGCAGATTTTGCTTCATGATGGCTTGCAAGAACTGAAAGAATGGTTAGGGCTTCATCGACCATGCAAGTATTTGAATCCGTCAGCATTTTTAAAAGGGCAGTGATAATGCCAGCCCTTATAGCCCTTCCCTTGTTCCCCTGATAAATACACAAATTGAACAATGCTGTTGCAGCATCTTTCTTCCCTCCTGAGCTTCCGTTCTGTAGCAAGTCTACGAGAGCTGGAATCGCCCCTGATGCGCCTATTATTATTTTATTTTCATCTGCAAGGGACAAGCTAAAGAGAGTTGCTGCAGCATTTTCTCTTGCTTCCATGCATCCACTTCTGAGAACCTGAACAATGGATGGGATGGCATTGGCAAGCATTATGAGTACCTTGTTATTATCATAAATAGAAAGGTTAAGAACACACGTGACTGCATTGTCTTGGATTTGACCATCCTCGGACGTCAAGAGTTTAACCAGAATGGGAATAGCTCCAGCTTCCGCAAGCAAGATTCTATTATCCGTACTTCTTTTGGATAGAGACCGGATCTCAGAAACTGCAGACCTCTGTTCCTCAATATAACTACTTGAAAGCTTATGAACAAGTGCTTCAATGACTGCTATGTTCTCACTAACATCTTCAAATGATCCGTCGCTTCTTCTAATCCTT